CCTTCATCTCCCCCCCCCTCCCCCCACACACACAACCAACCAGTGAACTCTCCCATAGATTACATTTTGTTGGGTATATCATTTTGTAGATACTTAGAACTACAATGTACTTACTTTTGACTTTTTCATTCTCCGTTGCCACTGAGCGTCCAGGGGAGATGCAGTTTTCTATTTCCGTCATTTTGTTGATGCCATGAATAAAGTTAATGACCACATTTCTACCCCAATACTCTCTCTCTCTCTCTCTCTCTCTCTCTCTCTCTCTCTCTCTCTCTCTCTCCTCTGTTATTACAGTATATCGTTTGCTATTTTATGAATAATTGACTTATATACTTTTCTTTAATCAAACCAAGACACTCGGTAACTGAAATATCCTGAGAATGTCAGTCAAATCAGTTAACCAGGTTGGCTATCCTATGTTTCAGGTGCCATCAACACTATCCCGCCCTGCTACAAGTTCAGCCCGTTGTCCACCTGGGAGTCTGATGGGCCGAGAGGTTTCTTCGACCATGCACTCACATGGCACTCAACAATCTGCAAAGAGCCCAAACTCGTCCCTCAGTTTTTAAACAGCTGCCTGCAAAACACACACGTCTGGCTGCTTGGCGATTCTAATATTCTGCGCTTTTTCTTTCTATTCTTTGAACTCACAAACTGCAAGTGGTATCTTGGTAATATGACTAGTCCATGGCCCACATACCGGTACTGTAACATTACGGATATCAACTTCACAATGACCTTCCATCCGCACGAATACCACAATTACATCCAGCACCAAATTCACCCCACGATCACATCCCCCGGGTTTCCCGCCTTACTGGACGCCATACCTTCGACGGGCAAACAAATAGTGGTCGCTCATTACTACGCCCACTACACTACAGCACATCTCATTGTTCTGTGGGAGCGGCTTACAGCACTGAGGGACGCCATAAAACGTTTGGTGTCTCGAAACCCAGAAGCTGTTGTCGCTTTCCGAGGTCCTCACGCCGTCACGAAGGACTGGGAGATCAACCATTCTGTCGGGGGAGACGTCCTGATCACTTTGTACCTCCCCATGATACGAGAGATATTCGCTGAACTCATGGACAAAGTGGTTTTCCTAGACGGGTGGGAGATGTCAGTCGCCCTGGAAAATACCCTTCTCCATCCCACCGACAAAATCCCCATTGCAATGATCAGAACACTTTTGGGGTTTGCGTGTGAAGTCAAATAACGAACCACTAACAATTAGATTTATTTATTATAGAGGTACCAGTTATCCATGTTTAGTACTTTTTTAAGGCTAGATCAAGTGAAAAGATCAAACAAGTACAATAGTTTAAATATCTGGAATATGTCATTTGATCTACATCTGATGCCAAAAGTTTCTACAGAAATAAAATGAGTTACCTCTGAATGCTGCCCAATCACTAGAGACTGTCAAAATTAACAGAAGCAACAGAAATGTGGTTTTTAGGAGACTGCCGAGAATTTCTTGGAAGAATAGACATCAAATTATGAGGTAGTTTTTAAAGAAGCCCGCGGGGGCCGATGGCTGATAAATATAATCAGGAAAAGACATGATGTAGTTTCTGGGATGAGTAGACATAAATACCTTTAAACATCAAACTTTCAATGGTTAAATAGAAGGTAAACGAGGCACGGGGTGAACACAAAGCAACCTACTTGCAGAGCCTAAACAGATAGGTGGCGGGAAAGATCAGCTAATGTAGCTTTTTTGAGAGTATCTGAGCAAAGGGACGAATGGAGAATCAAGATCGTCGATATCTGTCACAGATCTGGCCACTTGAAGATGATAAGCCCCGCCAGATTATCAATGACAGACAGAGGGTCAGTTGTTTGGAGTACATGAACTATTCGCTTCGTGATGCGAAGATCGGAGGTTCCAGTCCTGTAGAACTCAATAGACCCAACCCCCATCTTGAAGTCTTGAAGTTATTCACGAGAGATCAAATCACTTTCAGCCCACCGCCGTGTGAGTGTTGTCATGAGAAGACGTGAACCCCCAACAGATCCCATGATAATTATCTGTATGTCCACAAATTTACAATGTTGTGGGCATGGAAGCTGGAGACAGATACAGAGAGGGGGGTGAGGGGGTAGAAAAGATTGAGAAAGAAAGAAAGAGATAGACAGGAAGAAAGAAAGAGGTATAAACTAATGTACATGTGTTTGAGTGTGCGTGTGCGCACGTGTGCGTGTGTGTGTGTGTGTGT